ACATCGCCAACCGAACTTTAGTTGAGAACATGACTCTGAAGATTATGGTGAGCTTCAGTCTTTCAAACTACATTTTTAAAACAGAATTTGTTGAAAGATATAACACTGATTTCTTTTAATTCAGGATCAGCATGGTAATCCAACTGGGCAGAACCTGAACGGCAAGGTGTCGGTCTCCATAAAGTGTGCTGATGGGGAGCAAAGCAGAAATCTCCCTCTGCTTGAAGGGGTCGGCACTCTTCAAATAAACCTAAAAGATGGAAGCACCCACATCAACGTGAGTAACATTCTTCATCACTGATGTTATCATGGAGTCATTATGAAGAACATTACATCATATTAACAGTAACAACTCTTGCCAGAGGCTGGCGATCAGGGAGAACAGTCCTGGAGAGAACGGAAGAAGATACATTCTCATTTTCAAACCAGAAGTGGTGATACCTCCTACATCTCTGGGTCCTTTTGAACTTCCCTTCCATTTTTACAACGGTACATTGTTTAAATGGCTGTTAACAACAGAGCTGTCCTACTAATATGCAAGAGATTTATGGATCTGTTGGAGCTGTTCAGTCAATTTCACAGAATAAGATTGCATTTGGAACAAACCAAAAAATTCCTCATGTTGACAGAAGTTCAATCATTTCCTATAAAATTTTCCTATGAACATAAACAAATAAAATAATGTAAATAATAAATTATTTACAAGAAGTGAAAAGACCGGTTAGGTTGGTATCAGAAATTTGTCCTGAAATGTGATCAGGGAAAAACAAAACCAGCTTTAAAAATTGTTAGTGTTGCTCTTTCTGATGTTCATCTTTATTTTCACATTTTAGATTTTGACAACCAACAAAAAGTGTCTGGACTGACGAAGAAAAAGCATGAGTTGACCGTTCATGTTGAGAAACTCAACGAAACACATTCCTCGCTTGTCAGACTTCGTGAATTGCTTACTAGTGAGATTTATTCTTTTGACCTCTAGTTGTGATCTTTCAGAGATTCTAACATTATGCATTTGAAGTGGATTTAACTTTAAAACCTGAGAAGTTCTCAATTTAAGGCATAAAACCACTTTCACAACTTTTTCTATCTCTATTTGTTGCTGCAAAACATTAAAACATTTTCCTCCCACAAGGAAGTGTCCTGGATTCCAACATAAAAGAGGAAGCCCTCAAAAAAGTGCTGAAAGAAAGCAGAATACCAGCTTTGCAACTTTCATCTGTAAGTTTCGCAGATTTTTTTTCTCTTCTTTTCAAATCTTAATCGTGTGGCTTTTTCTGAGTCTAGCATTTCTACTCTTGACTCTTTGTAGATCCAAAATATAGACAGCTTACTCCAAGAAAAGACAGCTGAAAAGGAAAGGATAGAGAGGACTCCCAGGAGAGCGTTTCCTTCGTCTAACTGCAGTGGACCAGATATCCTTGGGAAGGTGATGGAATCTTTTAATTTTCTTTTTTATTCAGGATCCGGGTGTCTAAATCATCTGATGTTTTGGCTGCAGGTGGGCCACCTTGCACATATTAGCGATGAGGACGCTGCCTGGGTCATCTCTTGGCACCTGTCTTCAGAAATGGACTGCGTCATCACCAAGACGACAGCAGAAGCTCAGAGGATCTTCCGTGACGAACACGGCAGGCAGCAGATCATGGCCCTCGACAGCATTAATGTGCATCAAGGAAGCAGGTAAAGCAACATTTATACAGTAGTTTCATTGTTATAAAAAGGAAAATAAATTTGAATTTCCATCCTGGTTTGTTGACCAGTTCAACCATCTGTTTATCAACTTTTCCATCTACTACTCCTGTGTATTGTGAAAATTTCATATGAATTCAGTGTTTTTCTGCATTTACACTTTAAAAAGGGACCAAAAGAGAATCGAGAACTCCAGAAAAATCTGTGTGCAGAAGTTAAGAGGTTTTTAATGGGCCCATTGGAGTTTTCCAGTCCGTTTCAGAATCTCATTTAACTCAACATCAGATAAAAACATTTTTCACTAATATTAAAACTTAAAGCATCCCAGAGAAATGTTTTACAAGTGGAGAAATTTGCTTTAATTATAATATTTGGGCCTGTTTAATTTCTTGTAGACCTCTACCTCACATGAAACAAGGTAGAGAACTGTTCAGTCCAGTTGGGAACCCAGTCTGCGCGAGGAACTTGCTGATTTATACCACTGAAGAGGAGAGCTGTGAGCTTGGTGAGTTGGAATATGCTGATTTCTCTTTTTTATAATTGTTTTGCCCCCATGGGTTTTTACCAGGAGTTTGTAGCTTCTGTAGATTTTTAAATGTTGTACAGGTCCAATTGTCTGCCTTTACAGTCAGGATTTAGGTAAATAATTCCCCCTGGAATCCAAAGTCACACAGAAAATTATTCTTCAGGAGCATCTGTCTCTAGCTGTGTTTCCATTACAAATGGTTGCAAATCTTTGTCTAGATTCTTGTAAAATTGTTTTGGAAAAATTGTCAATGAATTTACAGAAGAGCAATGCATTCAGCGCGTTCGAATGATATACCACTTTTCATAAAATGTGTGATTTATTGAGAGCTTTAGTGGAATCAGCTGCATATTGTCCTCTTTCATTGGATCAAAACCATTTGAGGATTTTTTTTTTTGTTTAATTTTAATTTTAACAAGCAGTTGGATGTTAACCTTGTATTTGAAAGTTTTCCTCGTGTTTCACTTCCAGTGTTTAAAACCATCCTTGGTAACACGATTCTGATGGATGACATAGAGTCTGCTACCAATTACAGGAAGGCGGTGAGTGAATCTCTCTGACAGATGATGGTACCATGCTAGTCTCCACAGGGCTTCTTTATCCCGTAAATGACTTCCTGTTAACAGGTTATTCAGAAAGGGAACTATTGTCCCACCATATTGACCCGAGACGGGAACAGACTCCTCTTCAGTGGAAAGTTTGGGGGCGCACAGAACAAGGCACCAAAAAGGCACATAGTGAAGATGTTTGGAGCCCCTCTTCCTCTACGCTATGACACATTGCAGAAGGAGATAGGTGACAAATCTTACACTCCTTTATGAACCTTTTTATGACCACACAGTCAGATTATGCCTATTATATTGTTATTTTTGTTGTTGGATAGACTTGCTCATTCAATATCGTTCAACTTTGGAGAAGAAGAAAATTGAGGAAGATAAGCGTCATAAGACGATACAGAAACTTCATGAAATTGAACAAGAAGTGGAGGAAACTGAGAAAGAGCTTGAGGAGATTGAAAAGCAGCTTGGTAAGATTGTTTTTACACAACTTTCCATAAAAGTTGTGTTTTCTTGTTTCATACTTCGTAGAACTTTTCCACAACTTACCAGACTTAGTATAATACCTTAAGTCTTTCTGGAACTTACCAGATTACTATGTTGTTGTTTTTTTACTGAGCCTTAGCATTTTCTTCAGTAGAACTACCCAAACACTTTCTTAAACTTAACATGTACTTCTCTAGACAAGGCTCGTTTTTAAACTTAACAGGTTCTCTACTTAAATCTAAATCTGCTTTCCTGGAACACACAAGATACTTCCTTAAATCTCTCAATGGACCTTACCTTGTGCTAATCTAAACTTTCATAGAATTTAAGAGGTACTTTCTGAAACTTTAATTGAACCTACAAGGTATTTTATGGGGCTCCATTGAAACCTGCAGTCACAGCTGCTTTCCTGGAACTTTAATAGACATTTTCTTAAAGCAGGTCTCACTCCTTTGATTTATTTGATACGTTCAGAAACCTATGTTATGATGTGATTTTTAACTGGATACTTTTCTAGAATTTAGCAGGACATTTCTTGGTACCTTTTTGGAACTTGTGTTGTTGATAAGTAAAAGTTGGTCCAGAGAAAAAGTTTCAGAAATTTAAGCCTTAAGTTAACTTTAGTGTAATAATTTTTCCCGTATAGATGTGTTTCGCTGATTGTTCTGATATTGTTTTTTTTTCTCCTGCAGCATCAGTGAGATCAGGGAAACGAGGTCCTGAAGACATTTCAGAGCCATCTGGCCTCATGATGAAACGCCCAAGAGGAAGATCCAGGGATACTCCATAGAACTTTTAGCTCAACTTGTGATTTTGTTGTTTTTCTGTATTTCTTTTTAATCCGTTTTGAATGTTTTAAGTTTACAACTTCTAAAGTGAATTTACTTGGAATTCAGGAACATTTCATAAAGTCATTGTTTCTAAAAAAATAAACTGCTTCCATATTTTGTTTTTATTGTGTACCATTTTGTCAAGTTGGCATTGATTGTTTAGAAGTGCAAAACCTAAATGTGCACAACTTATGTTAAATGGTATTTTTATACATCCCAAAATATCTGGGTCTATTTTTCTGTTTGTGTAAATGAAAGAGGTCAGTGTTGATGTCTCAAAAATTGCACAGCAGAGGATCCTGCATGACCAGTCGGGTTTGGAAGTGTGCGCTGAAGATACAAAATATTTAAGACGTTTTCAAACTGCTGGTAGTTGCTGCTGATTATTATTTGAGGAAACTGCTAATATAAAAACAAACACAAAGTGAAATACAGTAGATGTTGACATATGGGCATTTGCCAAATAAATGTGATTTTGAGTTGGTGAACTATATTTTTGTGAACTGATTGCATGTACAGCATTTGTTTCAGATTTTTTTTAAATTTTCGGTTATTGCAGGAAAAAGCTTGCTTGCAAAACTTCCCATTTTGCAAGTAAGATGCGAAATGGGAAGTAATCAAGTTAGAATTGTTCTTGTTTTCAAGTTTGCCAATTCCCTGTACTAATTTAACAAACATGCTTTCCACTGCTATATAAACAGCTGTGATCTCCTTCTATCTTGTTTGAGCCAAAGTCGTTGTCGTCAGCTGAAGCTCCATGTTATTACGAAGCACAGAAAAGAGTTGAAACCTACAGAGAGCAGAAAGAAGAGCTCTCTGCACATCCCAGGTGTGTGTTTCTTAGTTACAGTAGGTGTTTCTATGTTTAGTGGGTGGATTCTAACAGCAGTAACACAGTCTCTGAATCAGGAAATGAGCATTTCATAATAGAGATACTATGTGCTCGAAACAAGGTAGAAAATAGTTTAATCTCTAGCGGAATTTGATCAATATGTTTTGAAACAGTTGAGAATAAACAAGTTTTCATGTTTTTTTCAACTTTGCATTGAGGCCAATCTCTAAATATCACACAGTTTTACCACTCTTGCAGTCTCAATGCAGTAAGGAAGACAAGATGATCCACTTGAACGACTGTCGCTTCAAAAAGATCATCAAGAAAACTTTGGAAACCAAAGGTTTGGACTTCAATGGCTTTGTGCAAGTTGTTCAAAAGATAATAATGGCTCTTCATAGTTGTTATATTGGCAGGAGCTATTTGCTATAATATGAATGCAATTGAAAATCTTGAAGGGAATTGTAAGACTGGCTTGGCACTTTTATTTACACTAGAATCATTTTGATGTGAAATTGCTATTTAACAGTTAAAGCAACTTTTAAGCCATTGTTTTAAGATCTGACCAAGTGCTTTTACATGTTTCTTTTTCAAGAGAAATCACTGATGCATGCAGATACTTGCCTTGGCGCCATTCTAGAAATTCAGGTCATGACAAGCTTGAACTGAGGCGCTTTTAGACACAAAGTCACAGTAAAGACATATAAAGTTGAAGTGTCACACTGTGTTTTCACCTTTTGGTTTTAGAAAAAAGCTCTTACACTTTTAAACTTATATTTATAATTACTATTGTCATACCATAAAAATTGTTAAACTTTGTAAATTCACAACTTGATAGGAATAATATTTGTTTTAATGCTAAGTTTCAGCACTAAAATTTCATGATAAATGCATGTCAACAGTGAGAGAATTGAAAAAAAAGTCCATAAATTCATTATTTCTGATTTTTAGACTAATGAATTAACATTTTAACATGCTGATTATCTCGCTGGTTGAGGTGTGCCTTCAATAATAATTACAGACCTCTCCATTCTTTATAAAAGGGAAAACTTAAAATTTGCTGTGTATTTATATTCTCCACACATAACTCATAATACTTTCTGATTACAGAAAGTATTTTCCATGGATTTAAATAATAAAATCAGAACTTCCTATTATTTTCCTGTTCCAACATGAGTGAACATTACTAACCTCAACCCAAATAAATGGCCAGGATTTTTTGTCCCACATCAGCATCTGTTCTTCAAAATTCTTTTATTGGATCTTATATCTCTCTTTTTTTTTTGCCCCAACAGGAATTTTCTGTCCTTTCAAATGAGACATTTGTGCTGACCACATCTGACAGAATAATAGTGGATGCTGATAAATTTGGTAAGTAAACTTGTTCAAGTTTACAAACAGAGGAAGAAACTAATTAGAACATGGGATGGTATTCTTTTGTTAATTTCAGAAAAACTGAAAGATGGCACCACCCTCTATCTGCTGCAAAAAACGGACCAAGCCCTGCCAGCTTCAACTGAGGAAGAGATAAACTTTGTTCCTCACTACAACACACTTATTGAAAGTGGGGCAAATGAGGCAAATGTCATGATTGGCAGCCATTTTGTTTGGTTTTATTGTTTTATGTGTGTTAACGGGCAATATTATGTAACATCTATTTTTTTGAGTTTTACATCATGTTATAATCTTTTTTTCCTCATCAAAGAAATAGTAATTTACAAAGTCAAATTTTTTTAAGTCATATTTGATATATGTATTAGTTTTATCACAACTTATGTCAAGATGTTGAATGTTCTGTTGACAATATGTTCATTGAAAATAAAAAATTGTCCTTTAAATTTCAAATGATATATTTTTAGTTCTTTAATCATTTAAAGTACAATTTCAATACATTGGACACATTTGATTTTTTTATTTAAAAGATAATAAATACCTTCATCTCTGTCATGCCTACTTCTTGAAGGTCATTCATTATAATTCCTAAATTACATTTTTTCTTGTGAAATTGAGCAACACTCATTTCACAAACAGAGTAAATTGAAGATGTTTCACAGCTAATAAAGACGGAACCAATTCTTAGCTCGTGGAAAAGGGGGCGCGGCTGCTCGGTTCGGAGGGGGTCCTGGTCCTGAAACGTCACATCCAAGATGCTGGAAGGCAGGCGCGCGCTTGGATGCGTCCAAAGCAGAGAAGAAGAAACAAGCCACAGATCTCTGGTTTCCAAACTGCTCGGGTCTCTGCTGGTTACAACCTGAGGTCTTCCTGCAGGGTGTTTTGTGCTGACATTCTTAACCATGAAGCGGGAAGTGCATCTCCTGAACTTTCTAATAACTTTCCCTCTCATCGGTGGAACACCGTTTCATCACATGTTTCGGGGAAACGCGTACTCTCCCCCCGAAACGCGACAGAGAAACAAGTGAGTAAGCTGCACATCTTTTTTTGTAATTAATTTCATTCCGTTCGTGCAAAGGACAGATTAGAACATTTAAAGTCATTCTTTTCAGAAACTGGTGCGCCTACGTTGTGCACAAGAACGTGAGCTGCGCTGTGGTTGGAGGCACGGAGAGCTTTGCGCAGCCGGAGTTTTTACCTTGTCCACCGGAGCAGCCGAACTGCGTGCAACAAGTGATGTAAGTTCCCAGAAATCACGATTATTGCGGAATCGGCAGATAGGTCTGTCCAGAAAACCCCATCTGATCTACAGTAGCACACATCTCTTTATATCTGACCAAGCAGACTTTCTTGTGATTTTTTTTTATTATTATTATTTCATTTCTCCAAGCTTTCTCAAGGCACATATTTTTTTACAATGTTTTTATTTGAGTTTGGTTGCATTTTTCTCTCATTTTAACTCATATAATCAGAAGAAACTGAAACTGACAAGTTTACTAAATTATGCCATACCTGGAGCAGGTACTAAACTGAATCAGAGCGCAAATCTGAGAAAAGAAACGTTGTTGCATGGCCAAGTGTACATTTTTAATGCAAAAGATTTAGCAACCAGTTTTTGATATTTATCTTACTTCTCATATTAAGGGCACATTCATCACATTTAGGAAGGAAATATCTTAACATCAGCTTTAATTAACAAGTTCACATTTCACACAGTTTTAGCAAATCTTAATGTTAAATCTAAGCCCCTTATTGTTGAAGTTGAATCTTCAGACGTTTTGTTACCAGGATCCTCTTACTAAAACAGTAGTTGTTTTCGAACAGTAAGCTTGGCACACAGCTAGGATGACACACCTCTCAGATCTTTTGTCTCTTACTTGTCTGCTGGCACAATTTGCTCTCATGGTTAGGGGAAAGGAATGAGCAAAACATAAACTTTGAACATCCCAAGAGCATTATTACAAGATCGTGTAGCTGGTTGGAAACACAACAAAAAGAAATTGGAGATAGATTAAAATAAACTGCACAACCATGTGTAGTTTATTTTACTGTGTGCTTCTTCTAAGAGCATCCCTTAGATGAAGCATAGTAAGTTTTTCAGGACTTAATTTATTTCACTACATGAATACATTTCTGTTGCATCCTTTACTGTTGTAGTCAAACACAGTAAAGGATACAATGCCTTCAAAAAAAAGTTTAGTACATTTATATAATGGCCTAACAAAAAGTAGTTCGTAATTGTGAGCCATACATTTGTGTCCATCCATTAATCTGTATTTTGCTGCATCATCTTTTGCTGAAATCACAACAAAAGACGAATGGCTCCCTACATGAGGAATTTATTGCAGAAGGGTGTCCAATAAAAGTGGGTGTGCACTTTGATTAGACCGTTGTAAAACATGAACATTCCAGTGTGAGAATGTTGTTCTGCAAGAAGATCAACCAGCAAAAATCCCCATTCACTCACTGGTGTAAGGGAATTTTTGCTGTATTTAGAGAGAGTCCTGGCATTTAACTTATTATCTTATCATTTTAATATTTGTTTGTAGATATCAAACACATTTTAGGCCCACATACAAGATCGGCTACAAGATTGTGACAGAACTGCAGTGGAAGTGCTGCCCGGGGTATCAGGGTTACGACTGCAAGGAGGTGAAAGACATGAAACTTCTCCAAGCAGACCGATTGCCCCATACCTCTTCAAACTCTGGCTATTTTCCACATCCACAAGGTCAGAAGCTAAGAATATTTTTTTAAATATTTAAAATGTTTAAAACCTTGAAGTGACAGGATCCTAATTGTTTGAATGTTATGTAGCTCCTAATCAGAGGACAGAGCAACAGAGAAACTATCCATCAACATGGGAGGGGCAGATTCAAGGTCAAACAGTTGCCACCGCACCACAGAGTCAAGGAAGACCTCAGAGTGCGCAACACCTGGAGGAGGAGGTGCAGCAGTTGTCCCAGATGGTTCTGGACATGCAGGCCAGAATGACAGACATGGCCTCCAACCTGAGGCTGGATTTCCAGGAGGATGCAAGTAAGATGTTGGCTACCCTGCTGAGCAACCTGAAACAGCCTGCCAGTGCTCGGGGCGGACAGACAGAGAGCTTCCAGGTGCAGGATTTCTCTTTTGGTCAAGAGGCCACATCAGTGGATGAGGTCACGAATAAGATAAACCAGTTCGCTGATGATCTGGAGTCAAAGAGCAATATCTTGAATGACTTAGTGGGTCGAGTTGACCTTCACGATGGACAAATTCGTCTGTTACTGGAGTCTGGTCGGAATCCTCTATCCACAGCCCAACCTGCCCCTGCGGGCACCGAAGCTGACCTGCGAGCCTACCTGGACGGCAAGATCAGCGCTCTGAGAGAAGAGTTGATGGAGGGTATGGACATCAAAATGGCCGACTTGAAGAACTCTTGTGATTATAAAATCCTCTCAGTTCAGGAACAGTGTGAAGGACAAGAAGCCAGCTACTTCAGCCTGACCGAGCTCCTGGAGTCAAAGGAAGAAGACCTCCGCAACGAGATCCAGGACCTTAAAAAAGAAGTATCTGATTTACAGAAGGCACAACCAGGGGATTCTTACTCTGTTCTGCTTCGCCTGCAAAACCTTGAAGACCATCTGAACTCAACTGAAAGGAGTTTGGTGGCACAGTGCATCTCTGTAGGGGAGAACCTTCGGACCGAGCAGGAAGAGGCCGTCACAGACTTGAAGAAGACGTTGGACAACAAGCTTGCATCCATTCAGGACCAACTCACGAACCAGCTGTCAGGAACAAACACCAGCTTCACATTTAGGAGTCCAAATGCTCTGCTGAAAGACATTAACTCTCTGAAGGAGTCAGTTAATAATCTGGAGCGTAAAGTCAACAATCTGGACCGTCCATGCTCAGGAGAATGCAAAGCTAATTTAACTGCCTTAGAAAACCTTCAGAAAGACTTTCAGAGCTATAAATCTGCTGTAGATGACATCAAGACACATCTGAATGTACAAATGAGGGACTTTGAATTCATGAAGGATCAGCTCGTTAGCATTAACAACAGCATTGAGAACAGTGACTTAAGTGACCCTCTGAAAAATGTAGAAGACTCAGGATTAGGTGAAGCGAAGCAGCAGAATCTGAGCTCCTCCTGGAGTCTAGCAAAAGACGGGGCCATGCAGGAGGCTGATGATCTTTTGGAACTTCACAGGGTGCAACACCAGGAGCTGAGACAGCGTTTGGATGAGCTGAGCAGGGAGGTGAAAGCTGAGAATGACAGATGCAGAGAAACGACTCACGACATGGGGGAGGAACTCGCCAGCATGGACAGCCGGATTGTTAACGTTGAGGCTCTGTGCAGCAGGCTAGACCCCATCTCCCTCAGCCTTCTGAGGGTCAAAGAAGGCCTGAACAGGCACATCACTGGGCTGTGGAGCAGTATGGACCAGCTGAACGGCACGGTTCAAACTCATGCTCAGGATATCGAAGGACTGAGGGGAAAGTGCCAGACGGTTCAAAATCAAAGCCTGAACATAGCTAAAGACATTCCCACCATAACTTATGGCTCTCCTGGGAAGGAAGGTAAGATGCCTGTCCTGCAAATCAGACATGAAGAGACAGATTTGTACAAACAAGCTAGGGAGTGATGTCTCTGTAAAGCTTTCACATCATGTATGAGAAGACTGAAATACACTAATAGTCTTATTAGTCTAATTAAACAAAATGTATAATTTTTATCAGATCTTTAAAAGTTTAGAAAAGAAACTTTAAAAAGGAAAGTTAAAAGACTTCTTGAGGAGTCTGGAGGTCTGGTGCCAGAAAACAACCTGATAGTGTAACAGGAAGGAGTAACACCTGGGTGGTTCAGACACTGTAAGTTTTTTAGAACCAACTTCTTTTCTGGGTTCTAGTAGAACTTTGTGGAATTAAAGATAATTGAGTTCAATTTGATTTCGCCTGAAGACATTCATTTACATTCAGAACAGAGAAGTGTCTGCATCTTTGGATGAATAAGTATCTTCAAGGTTCTATTTGGTTCACTTTTTTACATTTTATTGCTTTAAGGCATGAACAATTCACACATAGCTACCACATTAAAATGAAGGAAAATCTACAGAAATAAACAAAACATTTATGTATATATATATATATTTTTTTTTTTATTTCCTTAAAGTTCATTATATTTGATGTGTGAG